TTCGACCAAGATTACTTTATCCAGCAAAGCTATCATTCAGAATTGAAGGTCAGATAAAGAGCTTCACAGATTAGGAAAAGCTAAAGGAGTTCATCACCACCAAACCAGTATTATATGAAATGCTGAAAGGTATCCTTTAAGAAGAGGAAGAAGAAGAAAAAGGTAAAGATACAAAGTATGAACAACAAATGCGCATCTATCAACAAGTGAATCTAAGAATCAAGTGAATAAATAATCTCATGTACAGAATGAACTGGTGATCATAATAGAACCAGGGGCATAGAAAGGGAATGGACTGACTATTCTTGGGGGGAAAGGGGTGTGGGAGATGCCGGAAGAGACTGGACAGAAATCGTGCACCTATGGATGAGGACAGTGAGTGGGGAGTGAGGGCGGAGGGTGGGGCGGGAACTGGGAGGAGGGGAGTTATGGGGGGAAAAAAAGAGGAACAAATGTAATAATCTGAACAATAAAGATTTAATAATAAAAAGAAGAAGAAGAAAATAAATGGGGGGAAAAATGAACAGAGCTCAGGAACCTGTGGGGCTATAACAAAAGAGTTATTAACCTTTAAGTCAATCAGAGTCTAAGAAGCAAAGTATAGAGAGGGAAGGGCTCAATAGCACTCCAAAAAATATTAGCTGGGAACTTACCAAATCTGATAAGATGCAAACCTATATATTCTAGCAATAAAATAAGACTCCAAAAAGGATAAACATAGGAAATGCACATTGATGCACATCATAATTAAACTCATGAATACTAAAGACAAGGGTAAAAAAATCTTATAAGAAGTTAGAGGAAAATAATACCTTATCTTTAGGAGAAAAAAGCAATTAAAATGACGGATTTCTCATCAGGAATCATGGAGGCCAGAAAAAAGTGGTACAATATTTTTTAGGTACTATAACAAAGGAACTGTTATAACCAAGATTCCTATACCATGAGGGGCAAGAGCGGGGAGGGAGAATCTCTGTATATATCTCTATCACTCTAGAGACTACATTACCTTTTAGTAATTTATATGTCTGTCTCCCTAACTATACCAAAAGCTTCTTAAAATAAAAAACTAGTCATATGCATTTCTGCAACCCCAGGACATAGTCAGTGCTTGATACAGGAGATACTCAATAAGTATTTGGTGAAATATAAATAAATCTGGTAAGAATACTATGCAGTTACTATTATTTATATTCTGCCTTATTTTTTTTAATGTACAGTTTTTGTTAAAGCCCAGTGTTAAGATAACTCCATCCTTGATTGCTAAGGGGTAAAAAAGCAAGCAGTTCAATGGTTCTTCTGTGCCTACAAAGGACACATGAGGGAATGCTGGAGAGTCTAGACAGCATATGCTTACCTGCCATCTCTGATGAGTTCCTCAGCTGACTCAATCAGCTTATTAAGTTTCTTTACTTGTTTATAGTGTGCAAAACATCTTTTATGATCCTGGTCAAGTTTAAGGCATTCACGAACTTCACTGCTCATGTATTAAAAAGAAGAAAATATTCCAAGTCAAAATAATTAATATTTTTCCTTAATAAAACATTTACAAATATAGAAATTACAATAAAAGGTATTTTGCTGTGTGTAACAATTAAAACATACTGGCTTAATAATTTACCATATATTTGTATATATGGTATTGGAACATGCACACACTTATTAATTCAAATTAAAATGACTTAAGTAGGGTTATACATTAAATACTCCCACTTTGTTTCTACAAATAACATCCCTATTTATTTTAATAAGCATAGTTCATGAAAATAAACTATGTCGAAGTAGAATAACTTGAAATGTATAAATAGATAATAGAATATAAACACAAAATATATAAACAGACAACAGAAAATAAAAACAGCCTTAATCACAATTTTATTAATTTAAAATTAAAAAGAAAATAGTATTATGTTACTGCCAACAACAAAAGGATGATGAGATGTGTGAGCCAGAAGAACGGACCTGAGGGATAGTTCATGATCTCCTAGTTGGTAGTACAGTGTGCTGATTTTATAAAAAGCCTCAGTATTGTCATTCTTCAATTTTGATGCGGCTTTTAAGTCGCTTATTGCTTTCCTAGGTTCCCCTTCTTTTATAAAACACTCAGCTCGAAGTTCCCGTAGATCAGCATCCCAAACACAAACCTTGAGAAACAAAAGAACTAAACTTTAAGAAAGAAAGAAATTATGCACATTTATACTTATACCCCACATATTTTACCTAAATATTTATCAATATAAAACATCCTCGGGAGAAACTAAGATGGCGGCAGAGATAAACACCGGGAAATTAACGCCGCACACAACAATTGATTAATACCTCAGAGAAACAATACGGACTTCACCCAGAACCACAGGAAGCCTGGCTGACAATTAATGTGGTAACTTCTATATGGTATATAGTAGTTAAAAATCTGATACAATTTAGATGTGACCAAAATTAGTAAATGTAATAAAATAATTTCTCTAAGAATATCATAAATAAATTCTAACAGGGGAAGGATATACATCACTGACAAGGCCCTTTTCCTACATCCTTCAATGGTATAATTGTAAAACTTTGAAAATAAGAACGCATGGCATTTACCAGTAGAAGGTTGTTCCCAATGAAACATTTGATTTTGAAGAGGGTATTCTGTAATTGGATTTTTGTAACCAACAAATCTAATTTCTAGTAAAAAATAAAAATCTAGGTTCTAAATTTGCAAAATATTTTTATTCTACTAATAACTAAGTAAAATTCTCTTTTGTAAAATGTCATCTTGAAATTAAGTCCTCATATCAGAAAAAGAGAGAAAAAGAAAAACAATGTGAGAAGGTGGAGGCTTCATTTCCATTTTATTGAACAGTTTACCATGTGTAGTAAATGCACTGGTATTCTTCAAAATATAAACCCAAAAGCTTACCAATAAGGTCTGTGGAAGTGTCTGTACACATTTCTTAAAAGTTATGCTAAAGTCATGTCAACTTCTCACATATATTGAGTTATCAAAGACAACATTGGACATCAATTAAATATGAACAATAAGTTATGTCAAAATAGACAGTTTAAATACTGGAAGGTAAAAATTGTAACTGTATTTTTCCTTAATAAAACATTTACAAAATGATTTTGCAAAACATGAATTCTACTGGATCACATCACAATTTCCTCTATAAAATTGTCAAAGTGCACATTCTACATATAAGCTTACTGCCAAGATGAAATGAAACTATATATGAAAGTCCTATAAAATGATAAATATGAATTATGATTGCTTTCATATGAATATTTTAGTAAACTTCCTTCTGAAACCACTTGTCTTTCGTAAGTCCTTCAGAGGCAACTAAACTATAGACTTTGTTTTCCCAATCTAGAACTGTCTGGATCCTATCAACTCCTTCATCTGCCTTCTTCCCTAGCAACTTCTCACTCCTCTTTCTTCCCAAACATTATTTTTCCTTTTTCTTAACAAACTCTTTCATCTTATACCCCATTATTTAGCCTCTAGAATTTTCTTTCCCACTCCCCCCCCAAAAAAAGTCAAGTAAAAATAGCAAAACAAGCAATGTGTAAAAATATGTAACTCCTATTTCATAGCACATTCATTACATTTACTGAAAACTTCAGTTCCAAATTTTGTTCTCTATAAAGACCATGTTTCTCTTAAGAGCCAAAAGTCCAAGGACAGTCTGATTTTATACTATTTACGTTTTCTGTGGTACATTACATATCAAAGTATATAAAGATGCCTTATTGTAAAAAGCAGTAAGTATTAGGCTTATCAGCTGCACTACTTAAGAAACTTACCTCTAAAATCTTGTCAAGGGAGGTGATAGCAGCAATATAATCTGAGTTTTCAAAAGCATCAAGGGCCTGTGAACGCAAACGCTGCATTTCATCAGATTTTATAAGTTGGGATTGGGCTTCCTTTTCTTCATTTTCACTTGGATTAGATTTGAGCTATAAGAATAATAAATCAAATTAAACAGGGTTTCCATCTCTTAAGTCTAAAACCCATAGCATACGCAATAATCTAACCATTCCTAATTAAGTTCATTGGGGAGAAAGGAATGACACACAAGCAGAACTGGCTTGTCTTGTCCGCTGACTTGCTCCTGGTGCTGACCACCATGGAAAGCGACCGCAAAGGCACCTCCCACCAGTGTGGTGCGCATGAGCAAGCAGTGGAGCGAGAGTCAAAGACCTGGAGCCCCAGACACAGGAAGCAAATATATTTAGGAACATGAGAGGGTAGAGAAGAATGAAGAATAAAGGAAAGCAACACTCTCTCTCACTTTCTTATGTATAGCTCTAGAGAAAAGAATGAGTTTTATGTATTTTGCTTTCTAGTTATACTACCTAAGTATTTTTAAGTATAAAATAATTTTACCAAAATAACAAAAAAAAAAACACAGGTAAAGAGAGACAGAGAGGGCATTTTTTAGAGCTTATAAGACAGAAAAGCATTTGATGCCAGAGGGGCTGCTAAGATATAATAAGAAAGAATATACAAGGAAAAATAAGAGTATTAGTAATACCTTATTTAAAAGGCTTATGATGTGGTTTTAAGAGGTTTACACATTGTCTCTTTTTATTTTAAACACGAGGCCCAGTGCATGGATTCGTGCACCGGTGGGGTCCCTCGGCCCTGCGGGGATAGGGCTGAAACCGGCAGTCCAACATCCCCCGAGGGATGTAGTAGTGTGCGAAGTGGTAGGCAGCTGGGAGGAGCCCGAGCCGGGGCTGGGCGCTACACCTTTCGCTCATCCCAGCCCCACTGTGCCCACCCGCCGCTAGGTAAGCTCACTGCTGCTCTGCTGCGCTCTCCACGCACCAGTCCCAGGGCGATACCAGCGCGCCCATGACCAAGAAGCCGCCCAGTCAGTCCTGATGTCAGTCCTGATCCCAGTCACTGTCCAGATGGGGGAGGGGCACACAGAAGGAATGTCCACATGAGAGGCTCACACCTCTGCAGGAGCCTGTCAGTCAGCTGAGCAGCACTCCGCTGTGGGAGCACAGTGATCATCAGGGGGCTGCTCCTGCATTCAGCATCTGCCCCCTGGTGGTCAGTTAACGTCATAGCAACTGGTCGAATGCTTAAGCTTTTATATAGACAGATATTTTTATTGATTTTGAAAGAGAGAGGAAGGAAAACGAGGAGGGAGGGAGGGAGAGAGAGGGAGAGGGAGAGAGAGAGAGAGAGATAGAGAGAGAGACATTAATGTGAGAGCAGAACATTGATTGGATCAGCTGCCTCCTGCATATCTGCTACCAGGGATGGAGCCTGCAATCGGGCATGTGGCCCAGGAACCAAACTGGCAACCTTTTGATACACACGATGACACCCAACCAACTGAACCACACCAACTAGGGCCTTTGTCTCTTTTTTAACAACATTATCCATGTAGAATTTATATATCAAAAATTCACTAATTTTGGGTAATTCTATGATTTTTAATAAATTAACCATGTATACAATCATCTCCACATTTTTAGACCATTTATGTCAGCCCAATAAGATCCTTTGTGTCTGTTTATAGTTCATCCCTGCTACTAGCATGGTCTCATACACAATGACTCTTAATAATTTCTTCCTCCAGATGGAAAACATTAAGCTTAATGGCTCAGAAAAATGAGGTGCGACATTAAAAAGCTACTGACTTTTAACAACATTAACTGATGAACAAAAATAGATTCAGAGACACAGAAGCATTGAACAGACCGTCCAACCTTAGAGGGAAAGCAGGGGAGGGGATGATAAAAGATCAACCAAAGGACTTGTAAGCATGCATGTAAGCATAACCCATGGACACAGATAGTACAGGGGTGAGGACATGTGCTGGGGGGTGGGAATGGCCAGGGAGAGGTCAATGGGGGGAAAAGGAGACATATGTGATACTTTAAACAATAAAGAATTTTAATTTTTTTTAAAAACCTACTGACTTTTTGGGGAACTTTTTTCTTTAAGATTAGTTATGTAATAATTCCTGAAATCTAATATTCTTATTAAGATGAGAATTGTAGTTGCTAGGTTCCAATTTTGGGTGCGGTGAAGACAATAGTTGATTTCTAAAAATATCTCTCCTTCAATTGACCAATCATACTGTTTTCCCTTCTAGTGGATTTATTTTGTAAAAACACCCCCAGAACCACCTGGTAGGAGAAAATACTCCAAAGGAGAAACATGAAGATTATCATCACTTGATAGAGGCTCTATATTTCTCCACTTGTTTTTAGGATACTTTAGGTATTCTATTTCGTCTGTATAACCTCTGGTTTTGAAGGAATAGACAGTACTCCAAGTAGTCATAGGTAATTAGGAAGAAATTGGTCACCTCAGCTTGCTCTGGCTTGTGGGGGACTGTCACTGCATGACTGAATTATCTAGCTGAAGGTGAGTTGCATTACGGCCATGGAATGCTTGTCTATGGCTGTCTTATCATCCTTGGGGTGGTCTTGAATACTTGTGATAGACCACATTGGAAGGAGTACAAATGTGTGTGTGTGTGCTGTCTCTTTGCTCTCAGTAGAAGTTTATTGATAATTTGTTTTCTATATGTTCACCACTGCTCCCTTTTGGATAGACTGTATTGGAATGTATTACAGAGTGCCTCTTCTGGATGGAATGTGCTCCTTTCCTCTCCTAATCTTAACAGTCTAGTCTCTTCCACACAATTTTTGTTGTTGTTGGAAGGTGAGAGAGGGGAAAGATAGTGGACAAGGCAAGCTATAAGCTTTAAATAATTGCCACTTATACCAATCTAGCACACATAAATATTTTCTGTAGTGATAACATTTACACAACATTTTTTATTTTGCCATTTAACTAACTTTATTTTCCACAACTAGGTTTACAAAGCAACACCATTTATACTAATAAAAGGGTAATATGCTAATTAGGGCGGACATCTGAGCCTTCCGGACAAAGCCAGAGCAGCTGCCTGGGGCTCAGGCAAGCCATGGATGGCAGCTGCCTTTGCAAGGGCCCGAGGCTCAGGCAGCCACGATGGCTGGCAGTGGCAGCAGCAGAGGCGTGATAGGGGAATCGCCTTCCCCTGATCAGCCGGTTGCCTCCCAGACGGAGGCTAGACTGCGTCAGTCAGACATCCCCTGAGGGCTCCCAGACTGTGAGAGGGGGGCAGGCAGGGCTGAGGGACCCCCCACCCCAGTGCACGAATTTTCATGTACCAGGCCTCTAGTGTGTGTGTGTGTGTGTGTGTGTGTATTTCTTGTTAATGAATATTCTTTACTATCTTTGAGAAAATATTTTTCTTTCATAATACAGATTTTTCTGCAAAAGTTCTGTTTATATTTGCAATGTTCACAGTATTATATATGACTAGAAACATTTCCTTCAAATTCCATCAACATTAGGCTCTATATTATTTATTTATTTTTGCTCAATGTAACAGACAGTGGTCCCTCTCTAAATAGTTTCAATGTTTATCTCCTCACGTAGAAAGACTAATTATTGGAGGTATTGGTTTTGAATTTGTACCTCTGTGCTGTTCACCTGAGAACATTCTTTTGTCATTTGTCCAGAAGAATGTAGGTTCTAAATGCTTAAAATTTAATCAATTTAATATATGTTAACTGCTAAGCTCTTCTCAATATTCCCATTTTATGATCCCGTCTCCTCCTCTGCCATCTACTGGTATACCCTGGATGCTGTACTTCTATCTAGAAAAAGGATATGAATTTGAGATTTTCTAATTATTAATCTGAATTCTAAATCTGGGTATTCCAGATAACCCAGACATACTTCATAACATAACATAAGCCCTGAGAGTGTGGCTCAGTTGGTTGGAGGATCATCTGGTATACCGAAAGATGGCAGCAGGTTTGATTCCTGGTCAGGGCACATACTATCTAGGTTTCAGGTTCAATCCCCAGTCGGGACATCTACGGGAGGCAACTGATCAATGTTTCTCTCTCACATTAATGTTTTCTTCCTCTCTCTCTCTCTCTCTCTCCCTCCCTCTCTCTCTCTCAAATCAATGAAAAACATACCCTCGGGTAAGAATTTTTTTTAATTTTTAAATACTTTAAAATGTGTGAATTCTGTACTTGTATTTTTCTCTAAACCAAATCCAATCTAATTACGATTATTCTTACACATAAAACTGTTACATAAATTTTTATTTAAATATATTTTTACTGATTTTAGAGAGGAAGGGAGACGGAGAGAGAGATAAACATAGGAAAAAAATCTCTGAAACCCAAGGCTTGGTGAATAAGTCTTAGGCATAATACCAAAACACTACTCACAGGGAAAAAAATTAATAAATTAGACTTCATAAAAAATCTTAAAAACTTTTGTTCTCTGAAAGCTCAGGTAAAAAGTTGAGAAGAGAGACTGGTAGAAAATATTTACAAACCACATATGTGATAAAGTATCTAAAATGTACCTAAAATATATAAAGAACTCCAAAAACACAATAGTGAAAAAGCAAACAATCCAATTAGAACATAGGCAAAAGACATGAACAGCCATTACACCAAAAAGGACTTACAAATAGCAAATAAACACATGAAAATATCACTAGTCATTAGAGAAATGTGAATTAAAACATTGCACTATCACTACACACCTCTCAGAATAGGTAAAATAAAAAATAGTAACAATACCAAATACAGGCAAGGATGCCAAGAAACGTAAAATGGCTCAGTCACTTTGGAAAGCAAGTTGGTGGTTTCTTATATATAAAACTAAACATGCAATTACAACCCAGAAACTGCACTCTTGGGTACTTATTTATCCCAGCAAAATGAAAATTTACGTTTATACTATAACCTATATGAAAATGTTCAGAGTTGTTTTATTCATAATAGCCAAAAAGTGAAAAAAATGCAAATGTCTATCAATGAATGGATAAATAAAATGTGTCCTACACATACCATGAAATACTCAGCAATTAAAAGGAATAAGCTAAGTGATATAGGCAACAATCTGGATGACTCTCCAGGGTATTATCCCGGGGGGTGGGGGGGAGTCATTTCCAAAAGGTGACATACATTTGAGTCCATGTACACAAAATTTTTGAAATATCAAAATTTAAGAAATGAGTAACAAATTAGTGTTTGCTTGTAGTTATGGATGAGGGGCTGAAGAATTATGGAAGAGAAGTAGGTGTGGTTATTAATGGGTAACAGCAGGGATCGACAGGAGGGATATCATTCTGGCAATAAACTGTTCAGTACCTTGACTGTGGTGATAGATATAAAAAAAGTGTACATAGTTAATACACACAAATAAACACTAGTAAAACTGTGAGAACCTAAATGGACTGGTAGATTGTATCAATGTCAATATCCTGGTTGTAGTATTGAAGTATCTATACTAAGAAAAGGGTAATATGCTAATTAGATCAGATAGACAAGAGGTCTTGTGAATGTCCTTCCGAACGTTCACAGCAGCTGAGAGGGCTAAGGGCAGACAGCTACAGCGGCCTGCAGTGGCAGCAGCAACGGGGTAATGGGGGCTGCGCCTTCCCCTGATTGGCCCAGTCACCTCCCACAGAGGGAGGCCAGATTGTGGCTTAGGCCCACTCCCCGTGGGCTGTGAGAGGGGGCAGGCTATGTTGAGGGCCCCCCGCTCTAGTACACTAATTTTCGTGCACCAGGCCTCGAGTAGTTTTATAAGATGCTATCATTTGGGGAGACTGGGGATTGGGTAAAAGGTACAAAGAATCTTTGTGTTAATTCATGGGAATCTATGATTATCTCAAAACTTTCAATTAAAAATTAAATATTCAGTACTGATGCGCATTCTCATGGAAGAATCCTATAACAATAACAGCAAGGATAGTGTTAAGAACACACCAGTAGAAGCATGACTGTCAGAGAACAATCTAAAAGTGAAAAGTGACATCAAAGTTCCCCTTCTTGCTTCTGGAAGGTTTTCATATTGATCACAGAAAGCACATTAATTAACCCAACACATACCCAAAGTTCCAAACACACACTTTTCCAAAAAGATACATTCAATGCCCATTAAGGATTAATTTATACTAAAGCTTTATTCTAAATTAGTGACCTGGTGCATGAAATTCATTCACGGGGTGGGGAGTATCCCTCAGCCCAGCCTGCACCCTCTCCAATCTGGGACCCCTGTAGGATCAGGCCTAAACTGGCAGTCAGACACCCCCCCTCGCAACCCAGGACCACTGGCTCCTAACCACTCACCTGCCTGCCTGCCTGATCACCCCTAACGACTCTGCCTGCTGGCCTTCTCGCCCCCAACTGCCCCCCACCTGCTGGCCTGCTCGCTTCCAACTGGCCCCCCCTGCCAGCCTGCTCTCTCCCAACTGCCTCCCCCACACCAGTCTGATCACCCACAACTGCCCTCCCCCTCCTGGCCTGATCACCCCTAACCACCTCTGCCTCGGCCCCGCCACCACGGCTTTGTCCAGAAGGACATCCGGAAGGTCTCCCAGTCTAATTAGCATATTACCCTTTTAATAGTATAAGACTGTGCTATTTCGCCCTAGCTGGTTTGGCTCAGTGGATAGAGCGTTGGCCTGCAGACTGAAGGGTCCTGGGTTCGATTCTGGTCAAAGGCAGGTACCTTGGTTGCAGGTTCCCCAGCCCTGGTCAGGGTGTGTGCAGGAGGCAGCCAATGTGCCTCTCTGTCTCTCCCTCTCCCTTCCACTCTCTCTAAAAACTTAATATGAAAAAATATCCTCAGCTGAGGATTAACAACAAAAAATAAGTGTTATTAATGTGTGATTGAAAAAAAACCAACTCTAAGCAATATATTCCAATATTTGTTAAAAAGAAAAAAACACATCTTGTGTTTTATCATTTATTTATCCACTCAACAGATTTTTATACAACACTTGCTATATACAAAGGACTGAGCTAGAGAAAGTTATGCTCCCAGCACATTTGTGTCTCCACCACTCATCCTTCAGCGTGCTCTCAAGTAGCAAGGAAGATTAGATCAACAGAAAATTACATCCAATGTTACTGAGATCATGAGACAAGCTTCTGATTCAAAACTATTGTTTTCTAGATTTTTCTGCATACAACTGAGCATTGTGGTATGGTTATGAAAATGTTAAAAATTTTAGTTTTATTGTCAGAGTGGATACCATCATAGTACCTAAGCATTCTGATAAACCACAAAAATGCAAATAATGAATAATGGACTCTAATGTATGGCCTTTCTAAACCATTCCAGAAACAAATCCATGTAGAACAAAAATGCAGGTCTTAAAACAAGCCCAAGGAAGGCATAAAGATATTGGGCTAGCTATCTCTCTCTAAATCATTTTTCAGGATATACCCCTTTCAATTACATATTATCTTACATTCCCCCAACAAATCCAAAATGCTTTACACTTTTTTGGACAGAAATCAGACATTTAACATTATACTGCCTAGCAAAATAAAGGTTTGTTAAATGAACAAATGAAGTGGGAATACAGAGTTCTCCGTTTTCTCCACCCAGTTTCATAGCTTTTCATCTCTGCCTGGTACAGGTTCTTTTAGTATAATAATACAACAAAGTGTTATGAAAGGCTGCCAGCATTAGCAAGTAAAAGGTCAGTTTGTCATAGAGACTCTGGGCGCTACTCTGCCCTCTGAAAGGAAATCCTCAACAACACTTTATGCTGCATAAAGTAGCCATATGGGAAACTGAGAAAATCCCTTTTAAGAATCTGTTTCATGGCCCTGGCCAGTGTTGCTCAGTGGTAGAGCAACAGCCCTCCCCACTGAAGGGTCATGGGTTTGATTCTCAGTCAAGGGCACATACCTCATTTCAGGTTTGTTCCATGGTCATAGGGCAGGAAGGGGGCATACGGGAGACAACCAATCAATGTGTCTCTCTCACATCAATGTTTCTCTCCCTCCTTCTCTTCCCCACCCCACCTTTCTCTCTCTCCATCACTCCCTTCTCTCTCTAAAAAAAAAAATCAATGGGAAAATAACTTCCAGTGAGGATTAACATACAAAGAGAATTTGTGTCATTACTCCTTTCAAATCAAATTAAAGGGGTTCCCAAGCTCCGTAGAGGACTTAGAATAGTTCAGCTGACGTCTCTAGATTCTCACAGAAGACAAAACAGAGCATGTGAGCTACAAAAACTGAGTCAGGATTATATATTTATTCCTCAGACTTCACCTACCATCTATTAAAGTGATTCTTTGATGTCAGCCACCAAGTATTAATTCAAGAACTGTGATTCTTGTATACACAAATGAAATATTTTCCCTTTTATATATAAAATTATGTCTTCCTATAAAATATAAATCGAATATATTCACTCAGAATAACATGTTCAAAGAGCCAAACACAAACTTAACTTACCACTTTTTTAAAATCATCTTCTGCTTCATCAAGTTTTCCTTGTTTGAGTAATAAGTGGCCTCTCTGTAATCTTGCCTAGAAAAAAATAATAGAAAGGTGTTCTGAGTACTATGCATTTCTAAATGTTCTTTAAACACAAAGAATAAAATTAGCCGAAACCGGTTTGGCTCAGTGGATAGAGCGTCGGCCTGCGGACTGAGAGGTCCCGGGTTCGATTCCGGTCAAGGGCATGTACCTGGGTTGCGGGCACATCCCCAGTGGGAGATGTGCAGGAGGCAGCTGATCGATGTTTCTCTCTCATCGATGTTTCTAGCTCTCTGTCTCTCTCCCTTCCTCTCTGTGAAGGATCAATAAAATATATTTAAAAAAAAAAAAGAATAAAATTAAATAAGTTAATGAAGTATTAATGAAGTAATTATTTTCCAATGCCTATTTGATTTGGCACTCTAAGAATATTTCCTGGAACCAACAAATATGTTTAATTTTTGATAAAGTATGCTTCCTTAAAAATACTTTCTGCTATACCCAAAATGTTGAAAACATTTGTCCATACAAAATCTTGTACATGAATGTTCACAGTGACAGCCAAAAAGGGGAAAACAACCCACATTCCCATCAACTAATAAATCAATAAGCAAATGTGATAAAATCCATACAATGGAATTATTATTCAGCTATAAAAAGGAATAAAGTATAAGAACCTTGAAAACTTTATGCTAAGTGAAAAGAAGTCAGACATAAAGGGCTATATAATAGTAAGATTTCATTTATGTAAAATACCCAAATTCCATAGAGACAGAAAAATAAGTGGTTGCCAGGGGATAGGGAAGATATGATAATGACTATTAATGAGTACAGGGTTTCTTTTTTAAATAAATATATATACACACACACACACATACACATGTACACATCAGTGAGGAAGGGAAAGGGGAAGAGGGGTAGAAACATCAAAGATGAGAGAGAATCACTGATCAGCAGCCTCTTTTACAGCCCCCACCTGGACATGTGCCCTGAGTGGGAACTGAACTATGATCTCCCGGTTCGTAAGTCGATGCTCAACCACTGAGCCACACTGGCCAGGCCACAGGGTTTCTTTTTGAGGTGATAAAAATGTTCTGGAACTAGACAGTGGTAACACTAGCATAACCTTATGGATATATGGGCAGTGCCCAACTTATGATGGTTTGACTTTAAATAATCAGCCTGAGGGTCAGATTCACCCACAGGTGTGCTAGCAGCAATCAAGGCCCAACTACAAAAGGAAGGCACATATAACCCATACTGGGGACATCCCTGGAGAACCTGGCTCAGATGGCCAGTGAGACTGTGCCACTTAGACCCATAGGACACCTTTTACATAAGGCCACTCTGTCAAGACTGGGAGACATAGCAGATTTACCTAACACATAGAAACAAACAAAGTGAGGAAACAAAGAAACATGTAAAAAATTCAAGAACAAAACGAAACTCCAGAAAAAGGACTAAATGAAATGGAGCACTCTACCAGATAAAAGAGTCAAAATACTGATTTAAAGGATGCTCAATGAACTTGGGAGAAGAAAAGATGAACTCTGTGAGAAGTTCAACAAAAAGATAGAGAACATTTTTTTAAAAGGATATAGAAAACATTAAAAACCCTATCAGAATTAAAGAATACAATAACTAAAATGAAGAGAACAGTAGAGGGTATCAACAACAGATTAGATGAAGCAGATAATCAAATCAGCAATCTGAAAGAGAAGGTAATGAAAAAACCCAATTGGAACAGCAAAAATAAAAAAGTTTTAAAAAATAAGGATAGTTTAAGGAACCTCTAGAAAAACATCAAGCATACCAACATTCATATCTTAGGATTAAAAGCCTATTTAAAGAAAGGAGTTAAAAACCTATTTGAAGAAATAATGACTGAAAACTTCCTTAACCTGTCAAAGGAAATCAACATAGAAGTCCAGGAAGTGCAGAGAGTCCCAAACAAAGTGAACTCAAAAAGGCCACAAAAAGACACGTCATAATTAAAATGTCAAATGTTGCCGAAACCGGTTTGGCTCAGTGGATAGAGCGTCGGCCTGCAGACTGAAAGGTCCCAGGTTCGATTCCGGTCAAGGGCATGTACCTGGGTTGCGGGCACATCCCCAGTAGGAGATGTGCGGGAGGCAGCTGATCGATGTTTCTCTCTCATCAATGTTTCTAACTCTCTACCTCTCTCCCTTCCTCTCTGTAAAAAGTCAATAAAATATATTTTTTAAAAAAATAAATAAAATGTCAAATGTTAAAGACAAAGAGAGAATCTTGAAAGTAGCAAGAGAAAAGCAGATAGTTAAGTACAAGGGAATTCCCATAAGACTATCGGTGAATTTGTCAACAGAAATTTTGGAGGCCAGAAGGAACTGATATTAAATAGTCAAAATAATGAAAAGCAAGGATTTACAACCAAGATTCCTCTACCCAGCCAGGTTTATCATTTAAAATCTGAGATAAAGAATTTCCCAGACAAGAAAAAGCTAAAGAAGTTCATAACCAAACCAGTATACAAAATATGTAAAAGGGACCTCTTTAAGTAAAAGGACCAAACATGTGAATAATTTAGAAAAGAAAAAAATCTCACTAACAAAGGCAAATCCTTAATAAAAGCAGTGGATCAATCCTATATAATAAAAGCCTAATATGCAAATTGACCAAAGGCGGAATTACTGGTTGCTATAACATGCACTGACCACAAGGGGGCAGACGCTCAACGCAGGAGCTTCCCCTGGTGGTCAGTGCGCCCCCAGAGGGGGAGCGCCGCTCAGCCAGAAGCCGGGCTCACTGCTGGCGAGCACAGTGGCAATGGCAGGAGCCTTTGTTGCAGGAGGGCGGTCAAGAGCGAGGGGTTCCAGACTGCGAGAGCCCCGGACTGGGAAACGTACGTCTGACTGCCAGCTTAGGCCTGATCCCTAGGGAGATCGGGCCTAAGCTGGCAGGTGGACATCCCCCAAGGGGTCCTGGGCTGCGAGAGGGAACAAGCCAGGCTGAGGAACCCCCCGACCCCACCCCCAGTGCACAGATCTCATGCACCGGGCCTCTAGTAAATTATAAAGCTAGTACAAAGGTTAAAGGAAGATCATGTGTAATTACAACAATAACTTTCGGAATACACATAAAATAAGTAAAAAACAACGCCAAAAACATAAACATGGAGGAGATGAGTAAAAATTGTACTGGTTTTAGAATATGTTCAAACCTAAGTGACCATTAACTTAAAATAGACTACTTTAAACATAACTTGGTATATATAAAGCACATGGTAACCATAACCAAACATTTACAAGAAATATACAAGAAATAAAGAGAAAGGAAACCAAACATAACACTACAGAAAGTCATCAACATACAAGGGAAGAGCCAAGAGAATAAGAACAGAGACCCACAAAAACAATCAGAAAACAATTAATAAAACAGCAATCACTAAAAACCTATCAATAATTTCTTTAAATGTAAATGGACTACATGCTCCAATCAAAAAACATGAGGTGGCTGAGTTGATTAAAAAACAAGGCGTACATATATTGCTTATAAGAGACCCACCTCAGATCAAAAGATGCACACTGACTGAAAATAAAGGGTTGGAAAAAGATATTTCATGCTAGTAAAAATGAAAAAATAAAAAGGTTGGGGTAACAATATTTATATCAGACAAAACAGACTTTAAGAAAAAGGCCTTGCCGAAACCGGTTTGGCTCAGTGGATAGAGCGTCGGCCTGCGGACTGAGGGGTCCCAGGGTCGATTCCGGTCAAGGGCATGTACCTGGGTTGCGGGCACATCCCCGGTAGGAGATGTGCAGGAGGCAGCTGATCGATGTTTCTCTCTCATCGATGTTTCTAACTATCTTTCTCCCTTCCTCTCTGTAAAAAATCAATAAAATATATTTTAAAAAAAGAAAAAGGCCTGGTGCAGCTCAGTGGTTGAACATCAACCCATGAACTAGGAGATCACCAGTTCGATTCCCAGTCAGAGTACATGCCTAAATTGCAGGCTCAATCACCAGTAGGGGGTATACAGGAGGCAACCAATTGATAATCATCACTGATGTTTCTATCTCTCATCATTGATGTTTCTATCTCTCTATCCCTCTCCCTTCCTCTAAAAATCAATTAAAAAAATTTTTTTAAGAAAAAAAGCCATAACAAAGGATAAAGAAGGGTATTTCATAATGATAAGGGGATTAATACAAGAATGTGTAACTCTTAAAAATATATCCACACCAACACAGGAGAACCCAATATATAAAGCAAACTTTGACAAACATAAAAGGAAAGATCAGTAGTAATACAATACAGTAGGGGGCTTTAACACCCCACTGGAACCAACTGATGGATCACCCAGACAGAAAATCAACAAGGAAACTGGCCTTAAGTGACACATCAGACTGAAGGGATTAAGTTGATATTTTTAGAACATTTCACCCAAATGCAACAGATCATACATTCTGTTCAAATGTACATGGAACATTTTCCAGGATATATAACCTACTGGAAACAAAACAAGTCTCAGTAAATTTAATAAGCCTGAAATTATATCAAGCATCTTCTCCAATCACAATGGTATGAAATTAGAAATCAATCACAAGAATAAAACTGAAAACACAAACATGTGGAGGCTAAATAACATGCTGCTAAACAATTAATGGGTTAACAACAAGATCAAGAAGAAAATCAACATATACTGAGAGACAAAAGAAAATGAAAACACAACCACTGAAAAAATCAATGGGACACAGCCAAAGCAATTCTAAAGGGAAATTCATACCAATGTAGGCCTATGCCAAGAGACAAGAAAAATTTCAAATAAACAATCTAACTTTACATATGGGAGCATTAGAAAAAGAAAAACAAAGTGATTAGAAAGAAGGAAATAATAAAAGTCAGAGTGGAAATAAATGAAAGAGACTTAAAAAAACAACAGAAAAGATCACTGAAACTAAGAATTAGTTCTGTGAAAAGATAAACAAAATTTAAGGACCTTTAGCCTAATTCATGAAGAAAAAGAGAGAGCCCAAATAAATAAAATCAGAAATGAAAAAGAAGTATCAATAGACATCACATAAATATAAAGGATTATTTTAAAAACACTATGAAGGCCCTGGCCAGGTGGCTCAGTTGGTTGGAACATCATCCTGTACACCAGAAAGTTTGCAGGTTCAATTCCCGGTCAGGACACATGCCTGAGTTGCAGGCTCAATTCCCAACAGGGAGTGTGCAGGAGGCAGCTGATCGACGTTTCTCTTTCATTGATGTTTCTATCTCTCTCTTCTCCCTTCCTTTCCCTGAAATCAATAAGCACATATTAAAAAAAACCATACACCATGGATCAAGTGGAATATATTCCTGAAATGCAAGTTTGGTTCAATATTCACACATCTATTAACATGATACACCACATAAAACAAACTCAAGAATAAAGATCATATGATCATTTAATAGGTGCAGAAAAAGCATTTGACAAAATCTAGCATCCATTTATGATAAAAACTCTCAGCAAAGTGGGGACAGAAGGAATATACCTCAACATAATGAAGGCCATATATGACAAACCCACAGCTGGCATCTTACTCGAACTTTTTCTTTAAGATCAGAAACAGGGTAAGAATGTCTACTTTCACCACCTTAATTCAACATATTATTGCAAGTCCTAGCCATAGCAATCAGACAAGAAAAAGAAAGAAAAAGGCAGCCAAATTGGAAAGAAGAAGCACAACTGTCATTATTTGTAGATGACATGCTATATATAGAGAACACTGAAGATTCCACCAAAAAACGATTACAATTAATAAGTGAATTCATTAAGCAGGATGCACAATTAATATTCAGGAATAAATTCTATTTCTATACAGCAATAATGACTACCAAAAAGAGAAATTAAGAAAATAATACTATTTACAGTTGCATCAAAAAAATAAAATATCTAGGAAAAAAGTTAAGAAGGAACTAAAAGACCTTGGAAAACTATAAGACACTAAAGAAGACACAAAATGGAAGGACATACAATGCCCTTGAACAGAAACAATTAACATTGTTAAAATGTCCATACTACCCAAAGCAATCTATAGATTCAATGCAAACCCCATAAAAATACCAATGGCGTTTTTCACAGAACTAGAACAAATAATCCAAAAATGTATATGGAACCAAAGAAGTCACCGAATAGCCAAAGCTATCTGAAGGAAGAAGAATAAAATTAGAAGTATCATGCTACCTGATATCAAACTATACTACAAGGCTATATAATCAAAACAGCATGGTACTGGCACAAAAAGAGATTCATAAATCAATGGACAGAACAGAGAGCCCAAAAATAAATCCACACCTATATACTCAACTAATCTCTGACAGTGGAAGCAAAAATATACAATGGGGTAATAATAGTTTCTTCAGTACATGGTGCTGGGAAAACTGGACAAATACATGCAAAAAAAATGAAACTAGACCACTTTCCTATACCATATACAAAAATGAAATAAAAAGGGATTTAAGACTTACATATAAGGTCTGAAACCATAAAACTCCTAGAAGAAAATATAGGCAGTGAACTCTTTGACATCGCTCTTACTAATATTCTTTTGGATATATCTCCTCAAGCAAAGGAAACAAAAAATAAATAAACAAATGGAACCACATCAAACTAAAAAGTTTTTGCACAGCAAAGGAAACCATCTGAATGGGAGAGTCATCAATGATACATCTGATAAGGAGTTAATATCCAAATTATGTAAGGAACTCAAACTACTTAACACCAAAAAAAAACAAAAAACAATCTGATTTTTAAAAATGAGCAGAGGCTCTGAATAAACATTTCTCCAAAGAGCATATACAGACAGCCAAAAGACATATTAAAAGATGCTCAACGTTACTGATCATCAGGGAAATGCAAATCAAAATCACAATGAGATGTTACCTCACACCTGTCAGAATGGCCATCATCCAGAAATCAACTAGAAAGTGTTGGTTGGTGAGATGTGGAGAAAAGGGAACCCTCATGTACTGTTGGTGGTATGGTGAATTGGTACAGCCACTATGGAAAACAATATAAATACAACTACCAATTCCACTTTTGGTATTGATATGAAGAAACCCAAAACACTATTTTGAAAAAATGTGCACCCCGATGTTCACTGCAGCATTATTTACAGTAGCCAAGACATGGAAGCAGAGTAAATGTCCACCAACAGACGAATAGACAAAAAAGATTTGGCATTTATTTATATATACATTGGAGTTTTACTCAGCCATGAAAAAGAATGAAATATTGCCATCGGTGACAACATGAATGGACCTAGAGGGTATTATGAAAGAAAAATAACATTTGATTTCACTTATATGTGGAATTTAAAAAACAAAATAAACAAACAAATAAAAAAACTCACAGACATAGAGAACAAATCCATGGTTGCCAGATGGGAAGATGGTTGAGGGGGAAGGGTGAACAAGGTGAAAGGAATTAAGAAGTACAAAATTAAAAAGTATAAAAATCATGGGGATGTAAAGTATAGCATAGGGAATAGAGTCAATAATCTATAATAATGAAAGTGTAATATACTAATTAGACCGGACAGCCGAGCGACCTTCTGAACGTACTTCTGGACAATCTTCTGGATGAAGCTAGGGCTTCAAGGGCTGAAGCAGCCACCGCAGCTGCGAGGGCCGAGCCCCTTACATGAATTTCATGCATCGGGCCTCTAGAATTCTAATAACTGTGTATGGTGTCAGATAGGTACTTTGACATGCTCTTAGCAATATTTTTGTGAATCCTTTGTAAAGTATATAAATGTCTAATCACTATGTTATATACCTGAAACTAATATTGTATGTCAACTGTAATTGAAAAGTTAAAATTAAATTTTAAAAGAGAGAAACTACATACATATTCCACTAAAACTTTTATGTTACTTTTATGATACATAAAATTTCCCCAATTCCCTGTTAAGTGCATCAACACACATAAAAAGCAATATTAAAGCTTCTTCAATCAGCTAATAGCTACTATAGCATTAGGATAATGAGCTACTTAACCTTTGTGAAAGGTTGTGCTTAGCTAAAGTAATATGTGAGAATAAACAAGTCATCTTTTCTGTCAATAAACAGTTTAGGCAGCCGCCATGTGGGCCACATGACTTGCAGCTCCCTGGGGGCTTCCATCTTGAAACAGCCAAGGCCAACTCCTCCTTTTGAATTAGCCAATTGAGCAAGACTGTGCGCCTGAGCTCCAATCAAAAGTGAGGGACAGGTCACGTGTGCCAGGGATTAAAAAGCCTGCTCAGTGTGCACACGCTCCAGACCATGTGCTGAGTACCCTTCTACATAGAAGTAAAGATGTTTGCCTTGCTGCTTGGCTCCCGAGTATGTTTTGTGTTCTACCAGGACCCCTGAATTTGGGACTCGCCTTATTTCTTCCAAACAGATTCAAGAAAATTAGATACTTGGGAATTCCATCTTAAAATAATAGTAACATTTCAAACCAAACATTCACCCATATCTAATTATCTCAAATTCTGTTTGGAATATGGCAGGTTATAAACAATAAATGAGTTATCAAATTAATTTTGAAACCATCTAATTGGCCCTATTATTTTAAGCCATTACACTGAGCTACCAATTGTCAAAATATCCCATTAGGTTGTAAATACCTCCACTTCTGAAGTCTGTGTGTTGGTTCCAGGGGAGAATACTATCTAATTCACCACAAACCACTGCTTAGTTATCTCCTTTTCTTTATTGTTCCTGCTACTGACTAATTGAAACTGTCATTAGTAACCTGACAGCCTCTTAATTTAACAGCCTCTTCCATCAACACATTTCTCAGCCTAACTTCTTGCACCCTGCACTCCATTCTCCACACAGAGGTCTTCCTAAATGACAGAATGAACATCACTGCCATGCTTCTAAAGATTATCTAATGTACCCACTGTCCCTCTTTCACAGACCTTTGATGTCAGGGACTACTGCCCAGTCCACTACATCATAGGGCTTTCTATATCCTCCAGCCATGCCTACCCAGCATGCCAGTCCTCAACAAATTCCCTCTTCCACGTTCCCTTAAATTAAACCTTAAAGAAAGTTAAATGCACTTACTGCAGTGAAATCCATCTTCAATTCAATCACTTTAGTTAAATCAGGAAGTGCTGCTTTTGATTTTCCCATAGCTAAAAAGGCAGTAGCTCTTCTATAGTAAGCAACATAGTTATCTGGGTCTCCATCTGAAAATTAAAATAATAAATATTAGCGCTCAGTAATTTATTTTAAAAAACCAAGTCACCTAAACAATATTAGAATTTGCAATTCTATTAAGAAAGGTTAATTAAGAAAAGAATTTCTTCATCAATAATGAATCGTGTTGCCTAGCAAGATCACTGCAAATAAATCCAGAACAAGGGTCAGCAAACCGGCCTCTCAGCCAAATCCAATCCACAAACTGCAAGTTAAAAATAGTTTTTACATTTTTAAAGAGTTGTCAAAAAAAAAGAAAGAAAAATATTCAACAAAGCCTACAATATTTATTATCTAGCCCTTGAGAGAAAAAGTTTGCCAACCTCTGGTCTGAAATACTAACTACATTCAACTCATAACTTTGTCTTTACTGACATTTTCTTAAGTAAAATACTGATTGAAAATATGGACTATGAACTTATTCACAGGATTTTAGAAAATTATAGACTTCTAATTAAATTGATATTGTGCAACCTCTGCTCCTTCACAAACTCCAACTAAAATGGCAGTGAAGAAATAAAGGTACAATCCTTAGACAAAAAATGAGTGAGACTAAAGAGCAAAACTAGAGAAGTCAAAAATATCTGAACAAAGGAAAGCAGATGGATGAGTTAAGTTTTTGAGCTAATTCCACTCTGCTCAGAACCTACAAATTGGGGAAGGAATGAATTCAATTAGAAGCAAACCTCGTGTTGCTGAACAAACCTTCCAGAAAGCAACTTTGAAATATAAACATATATATAAAAATGTTTAAATGATCTTGGTCAAATCTGGCCATCTTATCTTTTAAAATACATATATGCACACAGAAGTCCATCATTTTAAAATTTACCACTAAAACTCACTAAAAGTTCTATCCTTCAAAGTCCTATCATTTAAAACCAAGTAAAAAAAAAAAAGTCCTATCATTTGAAAAACAGTACAATATGGAAATCTATATGGCAGAACAGTATACCACAGTTTTGAGCAGTTGTAAATGGCACTGAAAACTACCTGAAGTGCTGCTGGGGGAATGTGAGGCAGGAAGAAAGAATACCATATGTGCAAGAAGATATACAAATGGTCAATCAGCATATGAAAAGACGCTTAAACCACTAATCATCAGGGAAATGCAAATCAAAACCACATCGAAATAATACTTCATACCCATAAGAAGGGAGTTAGGGAGGAAGGGAGGGAGGGAGGGAGGGAGGGAGGAATACTACTGATGGAACATAAGATGGTGCAGCTGCTGTAGGGGAGTTCCTCAAAAATCAAACATAGAATTACCATATGCACCACCAATTCTACTTCTGGGTATATACCCAAAATATTTTCTTCTTTAAACTGTCCATGTATTCCAAAGTGTTTCACAATGAACATAGAGTACTTTCATATTCATTAATTTAAAAAAAAAAAAGAAAGAAAATCTCCATGACTTATTTACACTAAGCAAAGACTAATACTAGAAATAACATGATTTAATGCTTGGCAAACCACACACCATTATCTTGATATATTCAAAATTCTATTATACCATATATATACTAGTATATATCTACATCCTATATAATAAAAGACTAATATGCAAATTGTCCCCTCGACAGGGAGTTCGACCGCTCACTATGACATGTGCTGACCACCAAGGGGCAGTGTGGAACATGGCAGGTGTCAGTGGCGCAGTGCTGGCAGCGGGTGGTAGTGGAGGCACTGCTGGCCCCAATGGGCCCAGATGAGAGCAGTACCAGTGGTGGCGACTTGGGGCGGGGCTGCCGCCCAGCACCCAAACACTAAGAGAGCCGGATGGGAGCCCAATCATCCTGCTGATCGCACAGTAGACAGCAACCAGGCAGGGCTGCCGTCTGGCTCCCAGGCACTGAGGGAGCCAGGTGGGGACCCAATGACTCAGGCGGAGGGGGGCGAACGGAGGCCCGGGGGCCCAGCTGCTGCCCAGGACCCAGAGGTCAGCTGGGACCTGCCCGTCCATGCCAGATGCTTGGGCTTTGATCGCCGGCCAGGCCTAGGGACCACACTCATGTACAAATTTCGTGCACTGGGCGTCTAGTGTGTGTGTGTGTGTGGGTATACACACACACACATATATATCTTACTGCACCTAACACCACTCCCACTATCAATTATTTATATACACACTTCTGTCTAGAGAAAATAAATTCCTTGAGTGAATTCGTTTTCATGTGTCCACAGCTAATACCTGACCATTCTCCCACATGAAATTAGCAATAGCATTTTCAAAAGCAGATGTGGCTAATTTTAAACTTTCAAGGAAAGAAAAGAATGCTTATGGCTAGCTTTGGGGTATTTTATCAAGAAGGCACCATCAGTAAAAATTGCACTAGACTTTCATTTGGAAAAAAATGACAATTTCACACAAAACGAAAAGAGAGCCCACTGTATGGAAGAAAATATTTGGCAATGACACATCTGATAAAGGGTTAATATCCTAAATATATAAGGAACTCATACAACTTAACAAAAGGAAGACAAACAATCCAATTTAAAAATGGGTAAAGGATCTAAATAGACACTTCTCTGAAGAGGACATAGAGATGGCCAAGAAACATATGAAAAAATGCTAAAGTCACTGATCACCAGAGAGATGCAAATTAAAACAACAATGAGGTATCAACGCATACTTGTCAGAATGGCTACTGTTAAACCAACAAATGACAAGTGCTGGCAAGGATGTGGAGAAAAGGGAAGCCCAGGGCACTGCTGGTGGGAAAGCAGACTGGTACAACTATTATGGAAAACAGTATGGGGTTTCCTCAAAAAATTAAATATGGATCTGCCATTTGACCCAGTGATCCCACTTCTAGGAATATAACCTAAGAAACCCAAAGCACTAATAAGAAAGAATGTATGCACCCCTATGTTCATAGCAGCACAATTTACAATAGCTAAGATCTGGAAACAGCCCAAATATCCATGAGTAGATGATTGGATAAAAAAGCTGTGGTACATTTATACAATGAATACTATGCAGCAGTAAAAAAGAATGTCTTGTCCTTTGAGACAGCATGGAGGAACCTGGAGAGTATCATGCTAAGTGAAATAACCCAGTCAGAGAAAGACAAATACCACATGATTTCACTCATATGTGGAATCTAAGTAACAAAATAAACTGATGAACAAAATAGATCCAGAGACACAGAAGTATTCAACATACTGACGAATCTCAAAGGGAGGAAGAGTGGGGTGTGTGTGGGGGGGGGGGGGGGGGAGCTATACCCTAGAGAAATGTAAATCTATATCCACATAAAAACATGTACACATATATTCATAGCAGCATTACTCATAGCAGCCAAAGAATGGAAACAGCCAGAATGTCCTTCAACTGATGAATGAATAAACAAAATGTGGTCTATCAACGCAATAGAATATTATTTGGCAATGGGCTGGAGGGGGTCAATTGGGGAAATAGAGGAACACATGTAATACTTTCAACAATAAAGAATTATAAAAAAGAAAAAATTGACAATTTCAGTCTGTGCAGGAAAATCTCCAAAGAGGATTATGTATGACATAACTTTTGTATTAAGTATTTGATTATATACATATTTAAAATGTCTGTATAAAATATTTCTGGGGCATTCACTTTCACTTATTTTACTATGCAATTTTTAGGTATTTTACTATTCAGTTTTTAGGTATTTTTAAGACATGAAATGGAGTTGGGACCCCATTTCAATGTATAACACTGAACCCACAAAAATAAGGAATCAAATGACAATGGCTCAATACATGAATCATGTACCAATTTGCTTAGTGGTATAGAGTCACTTGAATGGCAAAATAGAATACCCTGGCTCTTCACCTTAAAATACCAACAGTTCTTAGAACTAGTGTCCCTTCCTATATTACTGTCTATAAAGTAGCAACTGAACAAGGATTATTTTAAGAAATTCGTGCTTTAAATTTGGCATTTAAACAACACACCATTATCTTGATAAATACAAAATTTGATAACCTCAAAAAAATCACTTTTCCTATTACCCACTCAATATACAATTCATTATTTAAACTACTTGCAAGCCTGCATATAAATACGTGAGTTCATTTTAAAACATGTCATTCAAATTGTTACATTTGTTGATTAGAAATTTGAACATGAGAGATGAATTTAAGGTTTAATCCTAAAACTATCAAACAATTCAAATATGAGAAAATTAGCCCTAATAAAGAATATACAACTACTATCTGGAGAAAATACATCAGGAAGTCAATTACAAATCATGTAAACAGAGGTAGCAGGAAGCAGAAGAACACCACCCTTGACTGGGTGTAATTTTTTTTTTTTATTCTGGCTGCCAGCTAATCCAACTCTACCTCCTTCATTTACCTCAAACTTTAACTGGGCACCAATCAGATGTTAAAATTAAAAAATGACAACAGTAAGAAAAGATAGTACCTTAAGAAGTTCACAATCTTTTGACCTGGAATGTGACCTTTGGAAGGTCACCAGACCATTCTCTGTTTCCTTCTGTCTAAATGTGAACAGGAATACTCATTCCCATTTCACAAGTGATGTTCAAATGTCATGAGAAAGCACCATATGCTTAAGTGACAAATAAAAGTAGACTTGGGGTGTTTTTTAATTTGGCAAAACTACATAAATGTAATACTGGGTTTTTTTTAACCAAGCAAATGGAGAAACCTATCATTTCAGACATGCCCACCATTGAATCTATTTCAGACACTCATTCCTGCCAAACAGGAAGAAGACACTATGTAAGGTCTATCAAAGAAATGATTTCACACCCTAGAATACACTTCAGACACACAGAACATAAGACATGATGTGGGAATGAGAGGTGGGGCCATCTTCATACCTGCACTGTGGTTTTCTCTCATGATAAATCTCTAAATAAAACTCCTTCATCACATTAAAATGGTTGCAACTGTTTCAGAAGACTATTTGAAAAGTGATAAACTATACTCTTTCTTAAATCAAAAATGTTTCCAACAGATCAAGACTATTTCCCAATCA